GATTTTTTTTTTCTTCCCCTGGCTGATTTTAACCTTGGCAGGATTAAGCTTGAATCCTCCAAGCCCCTTTGCAGACACACCTGCCATCCATAGCCCCACCCCCTACCCACAGCTGCCTACCCAGGGAGGTTCAGAGAAACACTGAATGATTTTTTTTTGGGGGGGGGCATAAGTATATCCCATTCCATGCACTATTTGGGATATACTTATACTCCCCCCCCCCCAAATCATTGGTTCTCTGAAATTCACACTAAACTGGGTGGCTTGCATTGTGTTTGCTTGCTGCCTTGGAGGGTGGGAGAGGAGGCGGGTCTTTGTTTCTGTTGCTTCTCAGGGCCAGGGAGAAATCGAAACCAACCCTGGCTATTTCAGGCCAGGAATAGTTCTATAGTAGCGGAATGTTCTATCACGTCAGCAAAATCCCTGCCTGGGGCCAGATCGGCCAACATTTGCAAGTTCCTCCAGGACTTGTAAACAGGGGGCGGGGTGAGCCTGCTGGTTAAGATGCTCACGTCCCCGTGGGAGTGCCTGGGCTTGGCTGCTGGCTCTGCTAGTGACTGCAGCTCCCTGCTAATGCAGACCCTGGCCGGAGGCAGTGGTGATGGCCCAAGTCCCTCGGTCCCCACGGTCTGTGTGAAAGACCTCGATTCCCTTCCTGGCTCCTGGCGTCAGCTCCAGCCCAGCCTCAGCCATTGTAGGCACAGCAGATGAGAGGTCTCTATCTATCTATCAATTATCTATCTGTGTATCTCCTATCTATATCTCCTTGTCTGTCTGCCTTAAGTAAATAAATTGTGGCACAGTGGATGAAGCTGCCACCTGTGACACCGGCGTCCCTTATGATCACAGTGCCAGTTCAAGGCCTGGCTGCTCTGCTTCCAATCCAGCTCCCTGCCGAGGCACCTGGGAGTGCTTGAGCCCCTGCACCCACGTGGGAGACCCGAAAGAAGCTCCTGGCTCCTGGCTTCGGATTGGTGCAGCTCCGGCCGTTGTGGCCATCTGGGGAGTGAACAGCAGGTGGAAGACCTCTCTCTCTCATTGTCTCTGTCATTTTGCCTTTCAAATAAATATTTTAAAATGTGTCCTTAAAAAAAAAAAAAAAGCATAGTTTACCTGGTATCCAGATCTGACTGGGTGTGCTGTATTCTATTTGCCATGTCTGTGACCTTGACTTGTGACCTTGACCTTGACACCATTGGCTTTAAAAGCCAGACAGAAACCTAAAGCCCCTGGAAGTCCTCTGTAGCTCCAAGGGTCACCCATAAAGATCAGATTCTTCTTGGTACATACAGAGGGAGGGCTGTGCCTGGCCAATGTCTCCTGTGTGGGTGCAGGAACCCAAGCACTTGGGCACCTTCCACTGCTTTCCCAGGCCATAGCAGGGAGCTGGATTGGAAGAGAGCAGCCGGGACTCAAACTGGTGCCCATAGGGGATGCTGGCATCACAGGTGGTGGCTTTACCTGCTACGTCACAGCACTGGCCTCCATCTCATTTTTTAAAAAAGATTTAGTTGTTTTAAATACAGAGATGAGAGAAAGAGAGAGGAGAAACACACCCAGACAATCTCCTATTTGCTGGTTACTCCCCAAATGGGCACCATGGCAGGGGCTGGGCCAGGCTGAAGCCAGGGGCTGGTGACAGGGACTCTGGGGGTCCCCAGAAAAGGAGAAAGGTAGGAAAGAAAACATGGGGTGTAACTCTCCAGGGGCTCTGGGGAAACATATACACCGTAACCTTCAGACATGGTTGGGTCTGCAGAAGGGATCTGAGTAAACATTGTTCCCTAATTGGTTATTATTCCTGCCTTCTGATTGGTTGTTATTCTGGCCTCCTGATTGGTTGGTGTTCCGCCCCTCCTCCTGATTGGTTAATATTGTACTCACTTTCCAGAAAGGGGACAATCAGAGACCCACTTTGTGTATAAAAGAGCCAGCGCTTCTCTGGCAACTCCTCCGTTGGAACCCCCCTCCCGACTGCTGCGACAGGAAGTTTCTCACTTGCAGTAAATCTCACTTTCTGCCCCATCCCTGTCCACGTGGAAACTCTTCTTCAGCGTGAGACGAGAACCAAGATCTCCATCATTGTCCCCCAACACCAGGGACTCCATCTGGGTCTCCCAGGTGGGTGGCAGGGGTCCAAGCACCTGGGCCATCCCTGTCACCTCCCAGGAATCAGGAGCTAGAACTGGGACTCAAACCCAGGCACTTGGATCCCGGCAGAGAGCTCACACTGTGGCTCAGTCAACCAGCCCATGTGCCTCAGTTTCCCCGTAATCCCACCCTAATGTGGTCGCAAGGCCACTCAGTGCTCTGAACTCAGCCCGATGGGGCCCGCAAGCTGGGCCTGGCACACAGTAGGTCTTCAATCAACATTGGGGATCTCCTAGCAGCCCCCAGCCCCTCCCCACCCACCCCTACCCTCATTTTTCACCCCTAATCCAGGGAAAGGGAAAAAAAGAGAAAAAAAAAACCAAAAAAACAAAAAACAAAAAACTCCCTCTTACTCTGCATATTTCCAGAAGCTGCCCTTTTGCTGGCAAAGTTTTTTTTACGTCTTAAGAAAACCCTGTGTGTGGAGCTCAGTCCTTGGGGACGCAGTGCGCGAGCCCGCCGTGAAGACCAGCCCTTTGTCAGGGACAGCGTAGCCGCCTGGGGGGGGCCCGAGTCACGGGGCGTGCGGGTGAGGGGCACGAGAACCTCCGAGAATATTCCAGAACACTCCTTCTCGAAGCGCCATCGGGGCTGGGTCTCTGAGTTGCCAGTCAAGTGAGGGGACAGAGAGAGGGTGTGGCTATGGGGTTCAGGGGTACAGTGGGGAGGGAGTAGTAATAGAACTCCCAATGTCCTATCGCACAGCAGGGTCGCTGCTGCCCCCAACTGTTGTTGTTGTTATTATTATTTTAAGAAGCACAGGTTTGCATTTGATCTGGCAGCTTCTGGACCTCAGTCTTGCCATCTGGGAAATGGCTTGTATCTCCAGGTATACGCTCCAGGTATGTGCACCTCTGGCCCTCTTCATGTTTTTTTAATTTTTTTAAAATAAAGGTTTGTTTTTATCTGAAAGGTGGGCAGAGAGAGAGAGAGAAAGAGAGAGAGAGGACTTCCATCTCTTGGTTCACTCCCCAGATGCCCACAACAACCAGGGCTGGGCCAGGAGCCAGGAGCTGCATCCGGGACTCCCGCGAAGGTGCAGAGACCCAGGCCCTTGGGCCGACATCTGCTGCTTTCCCAGGTGCACCAGCAGGGAGCCAGATGGGAAGTGGAGCAGCCGGGACTTGAACCTGCAACTCTGAGGTGGAATGCTGGTGTGGCAGGCGGCGGCATCACCAGCCGAGCCTTGATGCTCGCCCCTGGCTCTCCTAACGTGGGGGCAGCACGGGGGCGGGTGTCTGGCGCGGAGGCTGAGGCTGCTGCCCTCGGCTGCCTCCAAGGCGGAGTGGCCAGGACCTCAGCGTGCACAGGCACAGATGGGAGGGGCTCCCTCCCCCCTCTGCAGCTGCGCCAGTTCAAGTCCCGGCTGCTCCTCTTCCCATCCAGCTCTCTGCTATGGCCTGAGAAAGCAGTGGAAGATGGCCCAAGTGCTTGGGCCCCTGCACCCGCGTGGGAGACCCGGATGAAGCTCCTGGCTCCTGGCTTCAGATCAGCGCAGCTCCGGCCGTTGTGGCCAATTGGGGAGTGAACTCTCTCTCCCTCTCTTTGCCTTTCAAGTAAAATAAATGTCTTTAAAAAATCAATTCTTAAAAAATTTTTAAAAAGCTACAAGCCGAAAAAAAAAAAAAAAAAAAGAAACCCAAATACACCCATCCTGTGAGTAGTTTATTTCCACTGTATTTTTCCTCTGCTGTTTTTCCCTCTGGGATCACATTTATTTTTCCACGATCAGAAGCCCTCGCCCGCGTCTCTTCCTGACTCACTGTTCTGAGCGCGAGCCGTAAACAGCAGTGAAGCGGGAAAATCTTCTAGAAGCAAAGAAAAAAAAAGAAAAGGGAGGCTTCCAAAAACCTGACTCCGGACTTACGTAACTCGGAGTTTATGAACCAGGCCCCTGGCCGGGGACTGGGGAGGCTCGTGGGGCGGGGGCGGCCGGGGGGGTGTGCTGCACGGGTCCCTCCCACCCAAGGACGTGATAAGAGCAGTGCATGGGAGGCTGTGTGCATTCCTGGCATAGCGCGGGCCCTGCAGAATGTGCGTGGAAAAATGGAATGGAAAGATGAAAAAAGAAAAAAAGCTACCCTGGTACAGAAAGCAGCAAAATCCACGCAACGGCTTGGCCAGCGTGAACATTTTTGGAATCATCCTGGAGGCCCCCTCTCCCCGTCCCCCCGCAGAGCCCTGACCACAGGACCTTTGCACAGCGTGTCCCCCTTCCCTGCCCAGAAAGCTTGGCTGTCTCGAGCCGGCTCCATGCCCCGCCCCTCATTTCTGATCTCCTTTGCCGGTTCTAGGTCTTTCCTTAACTCTTCACCAGCTGTGGGCAAGGGGGAGAGAGAGAGAGAGGGCAGAGAGAGAGAGAGAGAGAGAGAGAGGGGAGAGAGAGAGAGGGAGAGGAGAGAGGAGAGAGATTGAGATACTCATCTCTCCAAATATCACCAATGAACAAACCGTGGTAGGTCTCATGGATGGAATACTATACAGCAGTGAAAAAGGAAATTGAGTTGCTGGACGGAGACTTCAGGCCCCTGGACATAGCTATGCCCTGATTACATCAGTAAATCCCAGGAAGCACGCACTGCATGCTAGCAAATTCTTCTGCATGCAGGTTAGCTGGTCGCCCCCCAGGATCCACGTGGGGTGTGGGGAGCCGGTTCTGGGGCCCCCTCCTTGGATACCCAAATGCACAGATGCTCAGTTGTTGGCGTGGAACCCACACACAGCCTCCCCGGGTGACGTCACACACTCCCTACAACATCCACGCTGTGTGCACCTATTACTCCTCACCGCTTAGCGCATCCATCCACGGTTGGTTCAACCGCGTTAGCAGAATGTGTGGAGACAGAGGGTGGATCTGAGCATTTATTGAGCAGCTAGTGTTTACCAGACCCCACCCCCCGAGGGGCAGGCTGGGTGAAGATCCCGTCCGACCAGGGGTCAGGCAGAACCCAGCCCCACCCCTGCGGTGGGTCAGGGGGTGCAGTCGCTGAGAGCCCCGAGCCCTGCCTGGGGACAGCAAACAAATGGCTGTGGCTCTGGGCAGTGGCTGAGGGTGGGGGGCACAGAGGGACGCCCCAGGGGACAGACAGGGTCTTGTGCTGGGCTGGGGGACCGGGGCGGCACGGGGGTGGGCAGGGGAGAGAGGCATCCGTGTGCACAGGAGAAGCTGTCGTGACCGGTAGTGGCCACCATGGCTGAGCACCCTCGGCCCCAGGGCCACCGGGGAGCACCCCCCTCCCCAGAGCGCTCCCCGACTTCAGCAGTGACTCAGCGTCCAGCAGAACACGGGGTGGCTGGGAGCCTCCCCGGGCAGTCACCACCCTTTGTCCACGGGCTCTGGGTGCCCAGGACGCAGTGAGTCACAGCCCAGGTTGTCTGGGACAAAGCCCTTTAGGGCGACAAATCCATCAGGCTGGGGAGAGGCCCCAGGTGGTCGGATGTCCACGGCCCAGAGTTCAAATAGCTTTTGCCTGAGGCTACTGCCCACGGCCGGTCTCTGAGTGCTGGTTCGAGTCCTGGCTGCTCCACTTCCGGTCCAGCTCTCTGCTGTAGCCTGGGAAAGCAGCAAAAGATGGCCCAAGTGCTTGGGCCCCTGCACCCGCGTGGGAGACCCGGAGGAAGCTCCTGGCTCCTGGCTTCAGATTGGCGCAGCTCCGGCCATTGCGGCCATCTGGGAAGTGAACCAGCAGATGAAAGACCTCCCTCTCCCTCCCCCTCCCTCTCCCGTCTGTAATTCTGCCTCTCAAATAAATCTTAAAAAAAAAAAGAGGGGGCCCTCTGTTCTTCCAGAAAGGGGACAAAGGGAAAGCCAACCAGTCTCCCAACCCCCAGCCAGCTCCTCCCAAGGGCCACAGCAGGGGACAAGGCGGGGGCCTCTCCCAGGCTCCAGAGAGTCCTATCAGTTGCTCTACAGACTTGGCATAATTCCCTAAGTATGGGCGGGACTATTGAACAGGTTGGGTTATCACTCCCTTGATTAGGTCTCTCTCTAAGGCAAAGGGGAAAGGGTTTTGCAGGTGTAATTAAGGTCCCGAATTCTCTGGTTTCTGTTTTTCTGATTTGAATTCCTCAGAAGGGAAATTATCCGGGTCCCGGCAACCCACGTGGGAGACCCGGGTGGAGTTCCCAGCCCCCAGCTGGGGCAGGCGTTTTCGGGGGTGAACCAGCAGATGGAAGATTTCTCTCTGGCTCCCCCTTCTGCATCCCCCCGCCCCCTCCCGGCCTGGGTGTGCGACAAAGCTCGTGGCCCAGCCCCCTGCCCAGGGCTCCGCCCAGTATTTTCTCCGAGGGGCGCTGCCCCCACCGCGCAGGCTCCCTGGCTTTGTGGGCTCCACAGCCCAGCCCGGGACAAGCGCGCTCTCCGCTCCCCCTGTCCTGGGGTGGCCAGGCACAGGCACTTGGATGTGAACTTGGCGATGTCCACTGTGATGGTCCCATGGTGGCGGAGGCGGGGCCGGCAGCAGGGAGCCCTGGGATTGGCTGTGGGCTCCGGAGGGCGGGGAAGGTGGAGTCGGGGGAGGGACTCAGCTGGGAACCCTTGGCCGAGTCCTGGGGCGTCGGTCCTTGTCCAGGCGCTGGGCAGAGGCTGGGCGGGGCTGAGGTTACAACACGCCCCCACTCCCACCCCGGGCACTTTGCCAATCGGTTCTCACCCTGGCCTGCCCACACCTTCCTTGTTTACTTATTTATTTAAAAGACAGGGGCCTGTGTTTTCCACAGCCCAGATAAGGGCACCGGTTCGAGTCCCGGCTGCTCCACTTCCGGTCCAGCTCCCTGCTTGCTGCACCTGGGAAAGCAGTAGCAGGTAGCCCGGGGGCCTGGGTCCCTGCACCCACAAGGCAGGTGGCCTCGGTCCCTTTGATGGGTGACAGACAGAAGTCCAAAAGCACAATGCTGGCTTGGGCGTTCAGCTGGGCCCGGGGCTCAATTCCAGGCTCTGCGCCTGACCCCTGCGCATGCGCACACCCTGGGAAGGCAGCAGGTGCAGCCGGCTCAAGGGCCTGGGTCCCCGCCCACCCACGTGGGAGACCCGGATGGAGCTCCTGGCTTCAGCCTGGCACTGGGGGAGCGAACCAGCGCACGGAAGGTCTCTGTCTCTGTCTCTGTCTCTCTCTCTGTCTCAGAGGCACCCCTGCGCGCGCCGTCGGCTCCCACCTCCCGGAGCCTCAGAGCTACAGAGCATCTTCGCACCACGGGAGCCGCCGAGCTTGGCGAGAAGCTGCGAGAAGCTTGCGCAAGCCCCGGCGGGAACACCCGACGGCCTCAGCTGGGATTCCCGGCCCAGTTGTGGTTGTAATGTGGCTGTCATGCCCCTGGAGCAGTCAGCGCTGTTCTTGGAGACTCAGCTGTATCGTAGGTGACGTGTTTTCTGCAGCATTCCTGAGCGCTTGCTCTTGGGCCCCCGGCCAAGGGCGCACTCACTCACAATAGCTGTCGGGGACGGAACAGCTGGGGAAAGGGAAAGGCGGCCTCGACTCTAGCGAGCAGACCTGGACGCATGAAAGGGGACCGGAAACAGCCAGTGCACCGGCACAGCAGGTGGCGAGCTCTCCGTGGGGCAGAAGCAAGCCCAGGGGGGCACAGACAGGGAGCTCGTCGCAGTGGGCTGTTCAGACGTCTGATGTGCACCTTTCTCACGTCTTGCAGGACAGCCTGGAGAGACACCCGTGCAAAGTTGCACACATGCCGTGGATCCCAATCCTGCACAGGTGACAGACATGACCAGTCCATCACAGCACAAGCTCCCAATCCCTGCGAGGGGCCACCACTCACGGACATGATCAATCGATTGCAGCACACTCTCCCAATCCCTGCCTATCTTGCTAGGATGTGTCCGCTTGATAAGGGACCATGCACACAGTGGTGACCCCATACAATGACACCATAATGGACCTGAAAGATTCCCATCGTCACAGGACCTTGCAGCCGCTGTCACATCGTACGTAGCACAGCGCGCATTCTTTGCACGGTTGTGGTAAGGCACGTGGGCCACCAGCAGGATAACAGGATAGCACAGGGGCTGGCGTGGTGGTGCTGTGGGATGCCGGCATCTCATATCAGAGCACAGGTTCGAGTCCCGCCCGGCTGCTCCACTTCCTATCCAGCTCTCTGCTATGGCCTGGGAAAGCAGTAGAAATGGCACCTGCATGGGAGACCCAGAAGAAGCTCCTGGCTTTGGATCGGCACAGCTCCAGCCATCGTGGCCATTTGGGGAGTGAACTAGTGGAGGGAAGACCCCCCCCCCCCCCAGCTCTGCCTTTCAAAGAAATTTAAAAAAAAAAAAAAAAAAAAGACGCTGACACTCAGAGAGGTTAAGCGGTTCCTCCGAGGTCACACAGCTGAGTCCCTGTTCTTCCCGCGCCTGGGTGGCTCCAGTGTGTGCTATTTGAAGAGGTCCTCGGTGGGTGGCTCCAGCCGGGCCCGGGGAGGGGACAGCGACAAGAATCGTGGCTGTCTGGAGAGGAAGCGGGGAGGAAGGGGCTGACGACCACAACATACCACGTTTCCTGCAGACAGACAGCGCGGCGGCTTCTTGGACCAACAGGAATTTCTCTTCTAGGAATTTTGGCGGTCACAAGGTCACGGGCAGGTGGCTTCCCCAGCCCCACCTCCCCTGCCTTGTGAGGTCTCGGGTGCCCCTGGCTGCTCCTCGGCTGGTGACTGGGATGCTTCTCCAACCTTAGGATGGCCAGTGCTGTGACACCAGCATCCCATATGGGCGCTGGTTCGAGTCCCGGCTGCTCCACTTCCCATCCAGCTCCCTGCTAATGCGCCTGGGAAAGCAGTGGAGGATGGCCCAAGTGCTGGGGCCCCTGCCACCCGTACAGGGAGACCTGGATGGAGTTCCAGGCTCCTGGCTTCGGGCTGGCTATTTGGGGAGTGAAGCAGCAGATGGAAGGCCTCTCTCCCTCTCTCTCTACCCCCCCCCCCCCGCCTCTGTTATCCTTTCAAATACATATTGTTAAAAAAGAAAAGCAAGAGTTTGCTGGACTGGGAGGTGCTGCCCCTCGGAGCTTCCTTCCAGCTGGGAGGGCCCCCAGCCGCAGGCCCCAGGGTGGGGTCCGTCCCCTTCCCACACCACCCCACCCCCACAGCAGCCCTGGGCTATGGAAATCCAGCCCTAAGCCTCCTCCTGGCCCCAGGAACAAAGGCAAAGTAGGTAGGGAAAGAACAGGAGGCCTGAGAGTCCCCTCCAGCCCCCAACTCAAGACGATCCCCCCCCAATACCCATATTCTTAGGAAGCGCCTCTGTGCCTTGGCTGCCAACATGCCTTCCTCCACTGCTCTGGCCTGGAGCCATCCCTGCGCCCACCTGACCACGGCCCGGCCCAACCCCAGCAGAGCTCCCAGCTGGCTTCAGGCAGAATCTCATGGGGGGGGGGCACCCGAGCGCCTGGCTGCAGGTTCCACCTGCAGATGCTCCCCCTCCAACACCGCACGTGGCTCCCATAGGCTTTCAAACCCGGTGGGCGCACAGATCACCTCCTGGGTGGGTGAGGTTCAAATTCTCACCCCCCCCTTTGGGGGTCTCTGTCTCCCATCTCCCCTCTAGAGCGGAAGCCCCCAGGGACAGGGATTTGTCGCTGTGCCCCCTCTCCCGCCCTCCAAGAACCCACCGTAGCCGCGTTCGACTGGCGTGACAGCTGCCGTGGCCAGCAGGGGTTCAAGGGGGTCCCCCGAGGCCGGACTCGCACACTTAGCACTTCCCGATCTGATCCCACACGGCTGTTTCTGGGACGTGGGCTTAAAGACTGGGTCCCGGGACACGCCCCCCTCCCAGTCTCCCCATCCCTTTAAGGGCTCTGGGGACCCCGTGGCAGCTGGGTTCCCCTTCGATCCACGCATCCGGGGAGGCCCCGCCACGGGGGCCCACCGCGCTGCAGGCTGGCGCAAGCCGGGAGCGCGTCCGCGCGGGGCGCCCCGGGGATCCCTGCGCGCGTCACGCTCTGTTGTGGGGCGCGTGTTGACGCGGTCGCCGTGGAGACGGAGCGGGGGCGGGCCCGGGGCCTGGGGTGGGGGGGTGGCGGGGGCGCGGCCTGGCTACGCGAGCGCGCGCGCGAGCGGCCGGGGCCCGGCTGTGCAGGGCCCCGGGGCGGCCGCAGTGGCCAGGGCCGCCGCCGCCCGCTCGCTTTTATACCGCGGCTAAATTTAGGCTGCGCCCGGAGCTCGTCCCCATCCGGGACGCGTTTCCGCCGCCGCCGCCTTGGCCCGGCCCCCACGCGCGCCGCGCCTATAAGGCTTGGGCGGGCCCCGGCCGCGGCCCGCAGAGCCGTCCCCGCCCGCCCGCCCGCGTCCTCCCCGGTGGTCCCCCAGCCATGGCGCTGAGCGAGCCCATCCTGCCTTCTTTCTCCACTTTCGCCAGCCCGTGCCGTGAGCGCGGCCTGCAGGAGGTGAGGGCGGCGGGGCTCCGGGCAAGTAGACCGTGGGCGGCGGGGGAGGCCGAGCGCGCGGGCGGAGGCTGCGGGCTCCGCGGGTGACCGCAGGACGCGGGGATCGCGGGCGGCCGGCAGCGACCACCTCCCCACAAACACCCACCCAACCCCTGCCCGAGGCCCCGCCGAGCCGGCAAGCGCGCGCGCGCGCGTGCGTGCACGCCAGCTCACACCCGCGTGCCCTCGCTCTGTCGCCCCGCAGCGCTGGCCGCGCGCAGAGCCCGAGGCTGGCGGCGCCGACGACGACCTGAACAGCGTGCTGGACTTCATCCTGTCCATGGGCCTGGACGGCCTGGGAGCTGAGGCTGCCCCGGAGCCGCCGCCGCCGCCGCCGCCGCCTGCGTTCTACTACCCGGAGCCTGGCGCGCCGCCGCCGCCGCCCTACGGCGCCCCCGCGGGCGGCCTGGTGTCCGAGCTGCTGCGACCCGAGCTGGACGCGCCCACGGGCCCCGCGCTGCACGGCCGCTTTCTGCTCGCGCCGCCCGGCCGGTTGGTCAAGGCCGAGCCGCCCGAAGTAGACGGCGGCGGCGGTGGTGGCGGCGGCGGCTACGGCTGCGCGCCCGGCCTGGCCCGCGGGCCGCGGGGTCTCAAGCGCGAGGGTGCCCCGGGCCCGGCGGCGGCGTGCATGCGGGGGCCCGGGGGCCGCCCCCCGCCGCCGCCGCTGCCGCCGCCGCCGGACACGCCGCCGCTCAGCCCCGACGGCCCCGCGCGCCTGCCCGCGCCCGGCCCGCGCGCCCCGTTCCCGCCACCTTTTGGGGGCCCCGGCTTCGGCGCCCCCGGCCCGGGTCTGCACTACGCGCCGCCCGCGCCCGCCGCCTTCGGTCTCTTCGACGACGCGGCCGCCGCCGCAGCAGCCCTGGGGCTGGCACCGCCCGCCGCCCGCGGTCTCCTTACTCCACCCGCGTCCCCGCTGGAGCTCCTGGAGGCCAAGCCCAAGCGCGGCCGCCGCTCCTGGCCCCGCAAGCGCACCGCCACGCACACCTGCAGCTACGCGGGCTGCGGCAAGACCTACACCAAGAGCTCGCACCTCAAGGCGCACCTGCGCACGCACACAGGTGGGCGGCGCTGGAGGAGCGGGGCTAGGGCGCGCGCGCGCGCGCGCGCGGAGCCGGTTAGGAACCCTCTGGGGGGCGTGGCTCGGGCGGCTGGGGAGGGGGCGCGCGCTCAGGAGCGCGTGCCGGGGCGCGGAGCGTGGCCGCTGACCGCGCTGGTTGGGGGGGCTGTCTCAGAATCGGGGCGCACCGCTTGGGAATCTGGGGCGCTGAGGGCCCGTGGGGGCGTGGCTCGGGGCTTTGGGGCCACTTAGGGAGAAGGGACGGGACGTTTCAGAGGGGGCGTTGATTGGAATCTCGGGGGCGGGCTCCAGCGCGCCCTGGGGACCCCTGGAGGCAGGATGCGGGTGCCTAGGATCCTTTAAGGGGCTCCGAAGTGCAGGGCGGAGCGCGGGAGGGAAACTGAGGCCGCCCCGTTGTCCCCGCAGGCGAGAAGCCCTATCACTGCACGTGGGACGGCTGTGGCTGGAAGTTCGCGCGCTCGGACGAGCTGACCCGCCACTACCGCAAGCACACGGGCCACCGGCCCTTCCAGTGCCACCTGTGCGACCGCGCCTTCTCGCGCTCCGACCACCTGGCGCTGCACATGAAGCGACACCTGTAGCCCCGGGGCTGCGCGCGCTCGGCCAGGGCGGGACCCACGCGCCGGGCACGGCCCCCAGCCCTCCCCGCCCCCACCCTCCACTGGGACTTGGTATTTATTGGACCCCGAGGACCCGAGCCGGACACCGCGTGGCCACGGAAAGGGGCTGCCCTCCCCGCCCCCACCTTGGACCGCCACGACCACGACGCCGCCACCGCTCTGGCCCTCACCGAGGACTTGAAGGCCCGCTGGGCGAAGACGCGACCCTCCTTCTGGACGAGTTTTGGTTTCAAAATGGTGCAATACGTGAAGTGGCGGCCGCCTCCCCCTCCCCCGCTCGGCTCGACACTAGGAGGCCCCCCCCCACGACAGGCGGCCCCCGTTTGTACTGTCCATTTTCTATACATAGATATATATATATATATAATATTGTACAGAGTGACTGTGACATATTGTAAATAGCCGAGACAGGTGGCCGTTTGGGCACCCGATTCTTTTTTTATGACTTTTGCTGTGTTTTGTGTTTTTTTAATTAAAAAAAGTTTTGCATCTTTTTGGAAAAAAAGAATCAGCGTTGGTCTGGCTGCTTGGCAGCTAGGGGCGGGGGGGGGGGCACTTGTGGCAGGGGTTGGGGGCGTGGGGGGAGGAGAGGCTTCATGGAGGGCTTCCTGGTAGAGGCAGCTGGGGGGGGGGGGGAGTCGGGCCCAGAGCCAGCAGCACCCAGCTGCCAGGAATCTGCGGGTTTTTCCTATAAATTTAAACACTGCATTTTGGGACTGGCCAGAGGGTTAATTTAAGGTTGTCCCTGGAGCCATAAATTGCCTCCTTCCCCACCCCAGCACGGGGAAAAGTGGTCCCAACTGACGTGGCCTTCTGAGCCCAAAAAAAGCCTCACCTCTTTCTGGAAGGTTTTAGCCAAACTTCTGGCGTGTGTGTGTGTGTGTGTCGGGGGCGTGGGGCGTAAAGTGCTGTTTTCTGCCCTGCCCAACCGTCCTGGAGTCCCCGTCTGGGGCCACCTTGTTCTTAAGGGGAGGGGAAAAAACTGGAGCCCCCTGTTCCAGAGTGGAAGACGGGGCCCAGAGCCGGAGCTCCACGGGGCCGGGCTGCTCCCTGGGGCTTCCCTGAGCCCTAGGAGGGGGCACTGGAGGGTGCAGAGGCTCAGGGCAGACAGTGCAGCCCCTGCCTCGGTGGCCAGTCCCAGGGGAGCCCCCCCAGCCCCCTCAGTGGGGCCGGCAGGTGCGTCTCTCCCGGGCAGGATCAGCGCCTTCCCCCTTCTCAGAGGCGCTGGGTCACCATGGCCACCAACCATTGCACAACCTGTTTCCCAGAAAGTGAAAACAGCCCAGAGGCTGCACACTCGCCCGTGTGTTCTTTTTCTTTCTCTTTTTTTTTTTTTTTTTTTGACTCTCACCCCTGCTGTTGCAACAGAGCCAGGGGATTCCTCCTTCCCCTCCCACCACCCGCCCCAGCCTTCCTCGCCCCACTCCCACTCCCACAACCGCAGCCCGGCAGCCCTGGAAACAGCTGAGAGCGCTTTAGCAATCCACGAAAAAAGCAGAAACGGGGGGTGATGGTGTGAGCCCCGGCGCTTCCGCCAGCCACCAAGGCTGTGTTTTTGAAGCGTGCTTTCTGCTGTGTGCACGAACCGGTTTGTAGCACAGAGCGGGGGTGGGGTGGGGTGGGGTGGGGGCTCGACCTGGGGAAGTGGCTGAGGCTTGCTGAGAGTACCCCGGGAGGAGAAAAAGGAAAAAAAAAAAAGACTCATGGAGGTTTTAACTATTTCTATGCTTCCCTGGCAAGTTCAAGTTTGCAGGTTGGGAGTGCGGTGTGTGTGTGTGGGGGGGGGGGGTGGTTCAACCTGTGAAGTGTCTGTTTTCTGAGGGCCCTCTCCAGTGGGTGGAATGCAAAGTGTGGCTCATCAAACACACACCAAGTATCACTCGTCAAACATATACAAAGTATCACTCGTCAAACACAAAGTGTCACCCATCAAACAAAGTGTCAGTCATTAAACACAAAGTGTCAGGCATCTGGCCTTCTTGGCATCCGGAATTCAAAGATCATTTTATTTGGGTGCAAAGGAAAAAAAAAATCCACGCGTAATTAGGAGCCTTTGAAAAGTTCAGGACATGCCCAGCATAAAACAAAACAAGACAAAAACCCACGTATGGATTTTTTTTTTTTTAATGTTCCCGCAGCCAAACAAGTTGATGTTTTTGCTCATTTTCCCAGGATGCCTTTTGAAGCCCTGGCTCCTGGTCTCTGACGCGGGGCTCAGGCAGCGCTGGCTCAGGCTGAGTCATCTAGAAATACCTGTCACTGGGGAGCCTTTTTTTTTTTTTTTTTCTGAAAGCAAAATGCCACCATTTATCAAACAGCGTTGGAATCAACAACAGGGGGTGGCCACGGCCACCAGGGCTGCTCCAGCCCCGCCACCCGGAGACCAATGCCACCCCGAGTGGCAGAGTGGTGCTGAGTTAAAAAAAAAATGGAAAATAAGCTGCTTTTGATCTTAAAAGATCACCATTGTTTTTTCCATGTTTTTCCATGAGATAGTCCCCTCCCCACCCCACTCCCTGCAATGGTGTTGTCTTTTTTCGTGGCTGTGTAATATTCCATTCAGCCATGGCAGGAGTTGCTATGCAAACAAACACGGCGCTGGCAGCCAGCTCTTGGCATCTGTAGGCTCAGCTGCCTGGGCACCGCGGACCAACTGCATCTGACCCGACGAGGTGCGGCCTCAGGAGCTGCCACCTCCAGGAGGGCGTGGAGGGCAGGTTCCGGGCACCTACAGATCTTTACAATCTTGGGAGACCGTGGAGTCGATGCACTGGGGATACTGAGTGTACCAGGCACACACACACGCGTGCACACATGCATACACATGCATAGACCCCACAAGGGCCTATCAAAACACGTGAGCACAGATGCCATCCAAAGGTAACTTGATTTCGATGCAACAGAATTGCAAGCACCCATTCCATAGAGGACCTTCCTCATGTTCCTTGGGGGAAACAGCAAACAAGAAAACCCGGCGTGGATTGAAAACAAAACAAAATCAACGTTCTGGCGCCCAAGCTCACCCTTTAAGCTTGCATTTTCCAGGAAGCAAATCGCCTCT